ATCGAATGCAGGGAATTCCGGTATAGGCAGGAATCGAATACAAGGCAATCCGGAATAGGCAGGAATCGAATGCAAAGAATTCCGGAATTGAATTATGTTAAGTTGGGTGAGCCAAGCGATTCCGGAATGTGTAACTTTCCGGAATAGGATGACTGCTCGCCCTGGAGAGCAAGTATCCTTTCGAGTAACTGTCCATACCAGCAAATGTCCTAGCGAGCAACTGTTCTAAACCCCCATCTTCATATGTATCTAAAAATATTATTAGAATCAGTGCAATCCTTGATTTATGTAGCAGATTCAACAACTATCTTCGTTCTTACTTAAACAACCACTCCATCAATCGATGCAACATTCACTGGTTTTGTTCGAGTTTGGGTCAATGAAGTGACACAAGATCGAGTTTGTTCGACTGAATCTGATCAGGAAGACTAGCTGAAAAAGAAACAACTTTGGTTACAACGAATTGAAACCAATGGAAAGAGAATTTATCATTCATGAAAATATCGTTACTGTTCCACGGCATATACTTCGAACTTTAACAAATGTTTTAACAAAGACCAATCAAAAACAATTCTCTCCTAATTGAAAGAAAAAAGAAGATTTTTGTTTAGAAATTGATATAATTGGTTATATACAAATATTAAAATATCGAGAAAATTCAATCAATATAAGTTTAGAATTAAGTGGAATTGTGGCGAATGTTGGTTTACATGCTTCCAAAAACTTTCAAATTGGTGATGAAGTATTTGGCTTTGTTAATAATTGTTTTGCTTCTCAACTTGTAACACATGGAAATTTTCTTGTGAAAAATCTTTACCCATTGTCTTTGCAATAGTCTATGCAGGTGAAATTGAGTTGATTCTCTTGAGAGACGCCAGTTCTTAGGAAAAACTTACGAATGTAAATTATTTGCTAATTCTCATTTCACTGCAGATTGGAAATTAGAAGTTTTGAAATTAACAAATGGTGAAGATGTAGAAATTGTTTTAAATTCTTTAAACGATGGTTTGCTATTCAAGCTGGTTTACAATGTTTAAAAATCGGTGGACGTTTTATTGAAATTGGTAAAGTTGATATTTTAAGTCATTCACAATTGGATATGAATTTGTTACTCAAATGTTTAAGTTTTCTTAGTGTTCAATTAGATATATCAATGCAAAGTCAAACAAAGAATACAAGAATATTTACAATCCATTAAAAAATTAGCATCAAGCAAAGCAATTTCACGTATTGTTGATCGAATTTATCAATTAAATGATACTGAATTAGCATTCCGTTTTCTAATGTCTGATCAACATAAAGGAAAATTAATTTTAAATATGAAAAGTGAACTTCCACCTGTATTTCCTTCAACAACTATTTATAATTCTCAAACTTGCTATATTTTAAATGGAGGAACAGGAGCATTCGCACTTCAATTAGCTTAACATTCTGAAACTGAAATCTATGTTGAAAAATGTGATGTGGCTAAATTAGAAAATATTCAAAATGTTTTTGCAAAAAGTGTAAATGAAATTCAATGTTTTTTCATTTAGCTATGGTTCGTGATGATGTACTTATTTCGAAATTAAATATTCAACGTATAGAAAATGTTCTTCAATGTAAAGTTTATGGTGCAATGAATTTCTTTCGAATAATTCCTGAAGAATAATTAGAAAATGTGATATTTTTCCAGTGCTGCTTCAACATTTGGAAATCCATTTCAAGCAAATAGATTTCTCAATAATTATGCTAATCAATTTTCGAAATTAAGTAAAAATCAAGTAAAAGTTTTAAATTTAGGTTTAGTAGAATATGTTGGAGTTGTTGCTGAAGATTAAAAATTAAAAACAAATTTTAACTGCAAAAGGTTTTGCTCGTGGTTTAACATCAATAGGTGTTTGTCAACTTGCTGATCATACATTTCTTCTTCAAAATGATGATCAATGTCAAATGTTATATGGAAGTTTTAATCCACTCATATCCAATATTAAAAACTCGTTCGCAATATTTAATTAATCAAACAAGATCAAATAGCAATGCAAATTGAAGAACATCTACCAATGGGAAGTGAAATAATAATACCTTCGATTTCAACATATATTTCAACGTTATTAGCAATTTAAGATTTGAATGATAATGAACCATTGACTGTTCAAGGTTTAGATTCACTTCTTGCTATTGAATTAAGTGTAGGTTTAAAGAAACAATTTGGATTAGTCATCAGTGAATTAGCGTTACTTGGTGGATTATCTGTTAAACAAATTGTAGAATCTGTTTCTCTTTAAACAACAAACAGTTCTTATTCTTTGTATTGTATTCTTCAATATTTTGCTTCTCTTTTTCTTTTGTTCAAAATAAATTTCTAATCATAGTGGATTAACAAGACAGATCGACATATTGGAAAGAATTCAATTAATATAGACATGATAATATTTATCTTGAGAGTATGGAGGTGTGTGTGTGACTATTATAAGAACAATGTCCACACCCTTTGTGAAATCAATTGCATCGTTTGATCATTATCCGTTTTCTAAATACTCAATGTCAGTAATTTCGAAGGATGGTTGTGAAATAATATAACTACCGGCGTTCGTACATCTATGCCCGCACACAAACCTTAGAGTCTTATTGAGACATAATTTTTGTGTTGAATACGCCTTCTATGTTTGGTATTGGTTTCAAAAAAAATGTCGTCTTATACATACTGTGAAATTCTTATGTTCAGCTGTCAGAAAAGCGTGCCTTTTGAAATTATCAAGAGTGATTCGAAAAAAATAGAAAATGGAGTATTTTCGGACCTTCGTTAGAAAGTCGTATTTGAAAATATCAATTTGAAGGAAATTTTTAATACTATCTGTACTTTGTACGGACTTGGTTCTTAGAACCTTTCGCCACTTTGCTATGAGCAGCGCCACTAGCATCATAACCTCTGTCTTCCCCTCTTTTTTTATTCGTATTAAAATTTTCCTTTTTCTTTATTTCTGAATAGAAGTTTTTGTTACTCATATCAACTTTCTCTTTTCATCTCGTATTTAAACTGAAACAATTGAAGTTGCGCAAAGAACTATTCAAAAATCTAATTTTTATGTTTTTCCATCAGTTATGTGTTAAAGAAAAAGTGATTATTTGAAATATGAACAAAATTGAATTACATAGAAGAAAGAAAAGAATAAAAAGAAATAATTTTTCATTGTAATTCTTTCTATTCTTTTCTTTTCTTGTATCTGTTGACACAAGGTAACTTCTTAGATGACTCACAGTTTAAACACAAGAAAAAAAGAATAGTTTTGTAAAATAACTTTACGTTGCTTATTTACAGGATAAAAGGAGAGAATACTCTAAATACACCAGTTGAAATGTACGTTGTTTGAAGATAAATCAAATTCGTAACTCTAAAATGGGTCGCCAACGTACAGTTGGATGAGTGTGTGTGGATATGTCTTCCTCTATCTACTACCCACACGTACACCTGGATATTCTTGATATAGAACCCATAAAAAGT